TCTTTAAAGTTTTTTTTGGGTGGGGGGAGTTCTGATGAAATTGGCTACACCTTATAACTTGGGGCCTTTTTAACACTTAAAACAGTCTTGAATAATGCTAATTCTCTCTTCGCTCCCCCCACCCATACCTCTCTTCTCTCTTTTAAAGTCTTTGAGGAAAGATTTTGACGTATCCGTGTTGTGATCAGATTGATGGGCCGGGTTTGATTGAAGTGCCTTTGTCATGCAAATGTCAGCCGTGTGATGGATGAGCGCAGAGATCTGACAAACTTCGGGAGGTCCCAGCTCATTGGGCCCGAGGCGGACCACGTGGTCGCGGGTCCCCAGCCCAACCCACCCACTCCCCACCCCCCCAACCCTTTCTGGAGGCGCTGGGGGTTCGGAGCCGTGCGATGCATGGCTGGAAGTTTTACAGCTTTTGACATACTATCTAAAGGTTGTAGGGCAGGCGGGATCCCCCCAAAACAGGTTGACCCTCCTCCATCAGTGGCAGATGGACAATAGTAGGATGAACTCCTTCTTAGAGTATGCAATTTGTAACCGTGGGACGAGCGCCTACTCGCCCAAGGGCTACCACCACTTAGAGCAAGGCACAGCTTCCTTCCCTGCCTGCTCAGGTACCCCTGCCAGTGACAGCTACCACGGAGATGGGCGCCTGGGAGCAGGGGGGAGCACAGCTGCGCCCAGCCACCTCCCCCAGCAGAGCCCTGGCTACCACCCCACGCCCTCCTCTGGCCTTGCCATCCCCTTCCCGGGCGCTGCCTCCGCAGGGTACCCGCCCCAAGCCTACAACCCGAGCTACGGGCATCCCCACTTCTACCTCGGCCAACAGGACGCGGATGGTGCCTACTTCCAGGCACCGGGGTATGGCCTCAACGCCGGATCTAACCTCAGCTCCTTGCCAGAGGGCTACTGCGGGGCAGTGGCTGCCCCCGGGCAGTACCAGCAGCACTCGTATGGGCAGGAGCAGCCAGGCTACTTGCCGGGGGCTTACAGCGGCCTCTCGCCTTCTCTAAACGAAAGCAAGGACCACGCGTGCCCATCCGAGCAGTGCCCCACCACCAGCGCCACGCAGACCTTCGACTGGATGAGAGTGAAGCGGAATCCCCCCAAGACAGGTGGGTCTATAGCATCCTCTCCATCCAACGGGTGGGGGCAGAGGCTTGGAGGGGTTTCCCCCGAGGGAGGGAGGTCGAACCCCGGGGTAACAAGGGGTGGTGCACAGCAGCAGAGCCCGGCGCTGGAAATACGCATCCGAAGCAGCGAATCGCCCTTGCAGGCCCAGACTTTGTCTGTGGTA